AAAAAAAAAAAAAAAAAGGAATTACTGAGAGGAAAGAGCAAAATACATAAATGTCTTATGTATAGTTTAAATGAGATATATAGATATAGAGTTCAGTTGTTCAACTTCTTTTGAGGGTGCTTGGATATTTACTTTTAACTTTTTTTTTGTTTGCTTCTAGGTGTACCTCCAAGGTACACTTTTTTGTTGTTCATTTAGAAAACACTGCCAGGTACAGTGACCCATGCCTTAATCCCCAGCATTTTGGGAGGCTGAGGCAGGAGGATCTCAGTTTAAGGCCAGGGGCAGCAACTTAGACCCCAAGCAGCTTAGCCAAAACCTATCTCAAAATTTAAATATAAAAAGGGCTGGGGAGTAGTTAAGTGGTAGAATGTCCCTGGGTTCAATCTTCAGTTCCGAAAAGAAAATACTAGGACCTACTATATTTCAGTCACTAGCTAGCTACTGGGGCACTAATGGTTGAGAAAAACAGCAATAACTCCTTTCTTCATGGAGCATGATCTGGTTAAGGGGTCAGATGGTAGCCAATTACACATATAAATGTTAAATATGACATCATAAGTGCGAAGAGGTCCAGCTTCCTTCCACGGAAGTTGAACCAGTGAATGCTCACACCAGCAAATGTGAGTGTATCTCGGGCTTCTGATAAGATTATATACCAAAAGCTTAAAATATACGCATGTGCATTATTCTTGCTGTTTCATAACCTTAAATGAAAGAGCTGACTTCAAAACTAACTAAAAGGTAGGGCTATCTTTAGGTAAACTTAGTAACCAGTAGTTGAGGGATGGGTAGGTGAAGGGAGGTCCACAGTTATCATTCAACCCTAATTTAATCAATAATTATTTGTTGAGTACCTTCTGTGTATAGGGCTGTATAGAGCTGGGTCATCAAGCTGTGAAATAGATCCATGTCCTACAGAGTTTTGCCATTTAGTCACTTAGATATGCACAAAATATGAGTAATCATGTTGGTTCCAGAATGCAAATATACCTTACTTTTAGCACTCACTCCTCCGTTGTGCTGTGTCCTTCCTCTCTGCCCCTTTGTCTGCCTAACTCTCCTGGTCACTGAGCTACCTAAAGCTTGTGGGTTTCCTCATTTCTCTAGTGTCCTTTTGAAACTTATCCAACTTGTATTTTATTTTCCTAATGTAGACGTTAGATTTTGTATTTTCCAGGTGACAGTTCATCTATTAAACAAATAATTGTAAATTAATATGCTTTTGATTGGCTCAGGCAGGCCAATTGTTTTGAAATAGGAGCAATTTGTTTGGAGGAGTCTCTCCATTTGGTTCCCCTTTCTTCCCTTTGGGCATCTTCTCATTTCTCAGCCCTCAAAGATGTCCTCACTTTTTCTAAGGGGATTGTCAAGTAGTCTTTGCAAGTGTCAACTGATCATTAGGGTGTTATTTCAAAATGGCCTGAGGTGAGAATCTCATTAATATGCAAGTGCTTCAAGGTACTTTTGAAAATAACAATAGAAAACAGAAATAATTGGGAGTAGGGTTGCAATTTTGATCAAAAGTTCATATATTTCACCTGCTATATAAGCTACCTGTTAGGGGTTTTGGCTGAGGCGAATTGATGCATTAAGACCCTGTCCTCCCTGCCTGCAACCCCTGCCTAGCTGGGACCCAACCGCATCTATCTTTTCTTCTCCAGGCTATTGAATCATTTATGACTATTAGACATCCGTTATCCTTCAAGATTCAACAGATGATCATCTTCTTGGGACATTTCTCTGACTCTGTGGCAATCTTGTTGTTATTATAACATCTTAAGTAGTAGTGTTTGTTTCTCTCCCACTGGACTCTTAGAGTCAAACCTGCAAAATCACAATCATGTTTTATTGAAATAAACAGGTCCAACATAAAATTGGCTTTATCTACAAAGTCATACGTATATCTACTTCAGTCCAAATTCATTCCCTTTTTTTTCTTGGGAATCGTATCATCCCTAACCTGTGGGTWGTGAGCAACTAGAGGACAGAAACTTTGTCCTTGCCTAGCACGTGTGAGGCACTGGGTTCGATGCTCAGCACCATATAAAAATAAATAAAGGGGYTAGGTTGTGGCTCAGTGGCAGAGCGCTTGCCTTGCACACGTGAGGCACGGAGTTCGATCCTCAGCACCACATAAAAATAAATAAACAAAGTAAAGATATTGTGCCCATGTATAACTAAAAAAAWTTTTTTTAAATAAATAAAGTTATAAAAATTTAATTTCACCTAATTTTACTACTGTAAGATTTAAAATTATGTATGTAGGGCTGGAAGTGTAGCTCAGTAATACTAATAGACTGCTTGGTGAACCCAGGTCTTGGGTTCAATTGCAAGCACTGCAAAAAAAAAAAAAAAAAAGCTTGAATTATATTTCCGTTGGATAGGGCCAATCTATCCCAATGCAAGGCTTTGCTTTTGATAATTATAATGGTTGGATTTCATCATTCTCGTTGTCTGAGACAGTTTTTAGTAACTAGTAGTAAATGATTTTACAGAGAAAGTGGAATTATCTCTTTTGAACTCTTTCTGTCAATGCAGGTCATCCTCCACTTTCTCAGTCCAAGGAGAATAACCTTGTCCRGAATCATCACCAGGAGGAAATGATCCAGAACTTGGTCATTCAGCTGAGATACATTGCAGATAGCATGAATTATAGGGAGGCTCAAGAGGTAAGACTTCGGTTTCCCCAGTAAGATCCTGCCAGGTAGGAAAAGCAATAGCACTGGCTGCCCCGGGCTGAGATCCCAGGAATAATCRGTACTTAGATTCATAATATCTGGATCACCAAACATTAGACCTGTACACGGTGAGCCTGAGTCAAAGTCAGCATTTGATCTCACAGTTGCTACTCCAGTGATGGCTGGTGGCCRCTGGACGGGCAGCATCAGCATCCCTTGGCAACTGGTTAGATGTGCAAAATGTCAGGCTCCTGCCCACATCACCGCAGATCAGAATCTACCTTTTACACATTCCTGCGGCAGRGGGGGATTTGTTTGCACATTAAAATTTGAGAAACTGCTCCACACCCTTCAAGTAGCATGCATATTAGAATACCTGTGGAATTTTGGGAATTACAAATGCTTGGGCTCAACCCTTAGAAATTCTGACTTAATTGAGGGTGAGGCCTGGGCATCCAGTATTTTAAAAGCTAGCCAGGTGAGTTTAATGCATGGGGGTGGGGGGAAGGGGGAGAATCTGTGCTTTAGCGTAAGGTTATCCTGCTTGAACCAGCCCTAGGTTTGGTGTGAGCCCACCGACACCGATATCTTAGTTTCTTCTGATTATGATAAGATCAGAAGAGGACATAGGAAATGATTACTATTCAGAATCTTGGGGATGATGAAACTCACACCTCGTTTAGTCTTGTCTCCCCAACAACCTGCAGTTGGCAGCAGATATCGATTACACGGGGCTCCTTGACAGTAGAGGTGCCTGCCCCTCAGAGCCTGTCGTCTTGCCCTTACATTCACCTGTGCTGTGGTAATTTCTTGTTAATCACTCTAGCTGCCGCTGCAGTGTGTTCAGGGAGTGCTGTACTCTGGTCCAAAAGTGGACAGTACACAGCCTTTTCCTCAGACACCCCCTGAGACAAAACATGAAGGGGAGGCCCCAACAATAATGCTATAGAAGCAAGAAGGAAACGAACAAACACAATCAAATGAAATATTTGATAAACTCATTTCATGCAAACAAAAGTCACTCAGTACATCCTATGCCAGGCTCAATTCTAGGCATTGGTAGCTAGTGCAGCGTGCAGGACAGAGCTGAATCCAAGCTCACAGCACTGAAAATGCAGGGGCGAGGCCGTGAAGCAGATGAACAAGGGACAGGCCAGCCAGACTGGGATGTGGGCTCAAAGCAGGAGGAGGGGAGACCGCAGGATGGAGAGTGGCTTTGGATGGGCCACTAGGAGGGCCTCCCTGGGGAGGTGATCGGTGAGCAGAGATTGGAGGTGAGGGAGCGAGCCACAGGCACACTTGTGGAAAAGTGTTCCAGGCAGAGGAAGAGTGAGGGCAAAGCCCCTGTGGGAAGAGTGAGCTGAGGGGTGGGAGTTGGCCTCAGTTTCAGAGGTGGAGATCAGCTGCTCGGGTTTTACACTAAGTGTGAAGGAAAGTTCTGGAGAGGGAGAGCACATTTAGAGTGGAGTCCGGTTGCCATGCWGAGAGCAGGCTGTTTATAGGGCCAGAGGGGTTCCAGAGGAACCTCCAAAGACAGCAGTGTGTGGCAGTGGAGGTGGTGAGGGATGATCAGACTTATCGTCAGATTAAAATGGAGAAGAGCCCGCAGGATCAGCTGATGTATTGGATATGGAGAGTGAGGGAGAAAGAGTCATGGATGACTTCAGTGTTTTGGGCCTGGGTGTCTGAATGGATGGTGATACTGTTTACTGGATGGGGAGAACTGGGAAGGACAGATTAGAGAAAATAGAGGTGAACATACTAAAAATCAGTTAATTTTACACTTTGAATGAGTGAATTGGGTGGTAGGTGAATTTTTCTCAATAAAGTTGTTAATTAAAGAAAGAGAAGTGGCAGGGTGTCAGTGTCACTTTAGTGAGCTGAAGGGGCAAAGCTGAAGACTCCTAAGAAAATGCAACTTAAAAGGGAAAGAGACATGTAAGCCTGAAATTTCTATTACACAATAGCTGGGTGTGGTGACACATACCTGTACTCCTAGACACTTGGGAGGCTGAGGCAGGAGGATCTCAAAGTTGAGGCCAGCTTCAGCAACTTAGTGAAACCCTATCCTAAAAAATAAAATAAAATAAAATAAAAGGGGGTAGGAATGTAGCTCAGTAATAGAGTGTTCCTGGGCTCATTCCCCAATATTAGGAAAAAAATCAATTACTATTAGAAATATAAATTGAGAAGCTGTGAAATTGTGTAGGAGTTATAAGAACCAGGGATATTGAGACTTGAGGTTAGAATTTGGATTATAGRTGCTGTCTTCTATGTGGGCTTTTTAGCCTCTTTCAAGTCCTATCTCCTAGACTAGCTCCAGTTGGAAGAAAAACTGAATCTATGTAATAATAATGCTTATCGAGGGCTTGCTATTTGCCAGGGTCTGTGTTAAGTGTTTACCTGCCTTATTTTTTAAACTCTTTCAACTAGCAATGGCATTAGTACTATAATTATTTCTGCTTTTCAATTAAGGAAGCTGATGCTTAGAGAAGTTACACAGAGGGTGAGTTGCTGATTAAGGACTCAAAGCCACGTTGACTTGCTCCCAAACCCATACACACTCTACCATACAGGCTGCTGCTTGGTGACCACTGACTCTYAAGAGCCACTTCTCACCATCTGATCTGATATCAGGACCCAAGAGAATGAGGCCCAGAGAGAGGTGGGAATACTCCCTGCCTCTGTACATTTTCTGCAAAGGACCCCTTTCAGAAGTCCTCACCTGAAAGCCACACCCTTCAGCTTCAGTGAACAACCTTATCAGAATACCAGGGCAGATTAACATGTATACAAGAGATATTTACATATGGACTCACCACTCGGTGAATATCYAACTATGGTGTAAAGGGTTAAATGTGCTGCTTTTAGAGCGGAAATACTGGATCCAAACCTGGCTCATACTTACTGTGTGACCTTGGGCAAGTTACTTAACTTTCCTGGTTCTCATCTGTAACATGGTGATTATAATGGTACTTACCTTATAGAGTTGTTGTGAAAGTTTCAATGAGATAAATTTATGTAACTCTCTTAGAGACCGACACACAGAAAATGATCATTAAAAGTTATCTATCTAGGGCTGGGGTTGTAGCTCAGTGGTAGAGCACTTGCCTCTTATGTGTGGGGCACAGGGTTCGATCCTCAGCACCATATAAAAATAAGTAAATAAAATAAAGACATTGTGCCCATCTACAACTAAAAATATTTTTTTAAAAAGTTAGCTATCTAAAGTTAGTGGTATATGCCTGTAATCCCAGACTCAGGAGGCTGAGGCAGGAGGATCAAAAGTCTGAGGGCAGCCTCAGCAATTTAGCAAGGCCCTAAGCAACTTAGGGAGACCCTGTCTCAAAATAATGAATAAAAAGGGCAGGAGAGATGGCTCAGTGGTTAAGCACCCCTGCATCCAATTCCTGGTACACACACACACACACACACACACACACACACACACACACACGTTATCTATCTAAATAAGAATAATTTTTGTTTGCTTTTGCCCTTTCTGTATTTGAGGCTGAATACTTCTGTACTTTTGTATCTTTTATTAGGCCTATTCCCGGTGTTTACCATCTCCCTCTCTGTCCTTTGCTACAGTTTCTTCTGCAGGAGAGTTTTCTTGACGACTGTACTTTATGAACTTCAGCTCAACTTGTGTACTTCATGTTTGGCTAACTCTGAGGACTCGTTGTTCTTTCTGTTTTTGTTTTCCGAGGAAAGAAATACAGTGGGATAAGTCACAACTGTCCTCTTCCTGTTTGCCTCTGCCCAGTCCAGAGGTTACTGCTCCATGTAACMGGTTCCCATTTTCCCCTCTCCTTTCCCTTTTAAGTTGCATTTTCTTAGGAGTCTTCAGCTTWGCCCCTTCAGCTCACTAAAGTGACACTGACACCCTGCCACTTCTCTTTCTTAAATTAACAACTTTATTGAGAAAAATTCACCTACCACCCAATTCACTCATWCAAAGTGTAAAATTAACTGATTTTTAGTTATGTTCACCGAACTGTATAATCATCAGTGCCATCGATTTTAGAAAATTTTCATCACCCTAAATGGAAATCCAAGCCCAAGTAGTCAGTTATTTCCCTCAGTGTTCCTGCTGGTCTTTCCAACCTAGTTTCTGTCTTTATGGTTTTACTTGTGTTGGACATTTCATATAGAGGAATAACGCAAAGTGGAGCTTTTTGCCTTAGACTTCTTTCTTGTGTTATTCTGTTTTCTTTTGAGGTTCATCTATGTTGTAGCATGAATCAATGTGTCTACTGGTTACTGCTGGATAATATTCCATTGTTTATATTTTACAAAACACATTTTGTTTATCTGTTTACTAGTTGATGGACATTTGGGTTGTTTCTTTTTGGCTATTATGAATAATGATGCTATCAAATTTGTAAAAAAAAAAAAAGCTTTGGGTAGATGTGGTTATTTTGGGGGGTACAAACCTAGAATTGGAAGTGCTGGCTCATATGTCCACTGTTTTACTTTTGGGGAACTTTCAGATTTTTTTCCAAAGTGGCTTCACCTGGCTAGGGGTGTAATTCATGGTAGAGTGTTTTCCTRGTGTGTAAAGGACCTGGGCTCACCATTTTACTTTGTGGCCCATCTGTAGTTTATGAGGTCCTAGTTTTTCCTCATCTTTTAAAACATGTGTTATTAACTGTCTATTATGTCATTGTGGATTTTTAAATTGATGCTGGGAATTGAACCCAGGGTTGCTTTACTACTGAGCTGCATCCCTAGTCCTTTTTTTTTTTTTTTTTTTTTTTTGGTGCCAGAGATTGAACTCAGGGACACTCAACCACTGAGCCACATCCCCAGCCCTGTTTTGTATTTTATTAGAGGTATAGTTTCACTGAGTTGCTTAGCATGTTGCTAAATTATTGAGGCTGGCTCTAAACTCAGATTCTCCTGCCTCAGCCTCCCAAGTCGCTGGGATTATAGGCCTATGCCACTGTGCGCAGCTCCTTTCATTTTCTGATGGTGTTTTTTGAAGTATAGTTTTTAATGAAATTCACTTTTTCTGTTTTTTCTTTAGGTTCGGGTGTTTTTCATATGATTGCTAAGAAACAATGACCTAGTCGAAGGCATGAAGATTTACACTTTTCTTCTGAGAGCTTTGTAATTTTAGTTAAATTTAGGTCTTTGATCCACTTGGAGTTCATTTTTATAAACAGTTTGAGTTAGAAGTTCATCTTCAATTTTTTTTTTTTTTTTTGCACGTAGGTTTTCTGCTGTCCTGGCTCCATTTGTTGAAAGACCAGTTTTACCCTATTGATTGTCCTTGTTGAAAATCAATTGACTGCAAATGTGCTGCGGTATTTCTGGACTCTCAATCCTATTCCATTCTCTCCTAWCCTTACATCTCCTAAAGCTTTTCTTGCATCTGGCTTTGACCTGGACCTTTAAAGTCACCTTGTCCTCCACTACAAAATTGCATTTTAGGATACCTTTAAGTCACAGCAGGTATTCTAAATGTAGTCATTTAAAACATTTCTCCTCAGACTGGTTTTAAAATGCTAAAGCCTCTRCTGCTTCAAAGCTTAGGTCAGACAACTTTAATAGAATTTCAAATCTGGCCCAGTTCCTTTCTTTCACAGATGTCATCATTTATTTACCTTTTGTGCTGTATATAATCAAGTGGTCACATTGATTCTCTGACTGCCTTCCTGCTGTTGGTGTATTTAAAGAAACTATCGAGCAAGGAACTCGMCAGATTTCATCATTGTCTGCTAAATTGATTGTTCTTGACCTTCCACGGTTCTTGCTTTCTGGGTCTTTCCACTTAAATTAGTGTTACGTGTTTTCAGAAGTAATCTGTGTTTCTCAAAATTGCCTCTATTTTACCATTTAGTTATATGGGATTTTTGTTCAGATACCTTGCTTGGTTGGTTTCTGTTGTTAGTCTTATGTTTTTAAATCTGGGTCATGTAATTTCCCTAGATATAAGGTGTGTTAAAGCTTTTAGGATCTGCAATTTTATGCCACAGGACTCTCTTCTGGGTTCTGGAAACTGTCTTCTTTCCTGCCAGGGCCCAGGAATGGTGGCAGCTCTGCTGTCCCCAGCCCAGTCTCTTTATTTAACCCTTCTCAAATTAGCTAATTCAGGTGTTATTTTATTTTCTCTGGAACCTTGAGTGATACAGTAATGCATAGGGAATTTCTTAGTTTTTTAGAAAGAGGAARAGAAACTAACATTTCTTCCAGGAACTCTTGGAGACACTTTTACATGTTTTACTGAATTCTCTCAGTAGCCCTACAAATTGCCATCATAAGTATTTCAGGAGAAGTGGTTGAGTTTCAAAGAGATTGTGAATCATCTAAGGTCATTTAGCTTCTAAGTGGCAAAATTGGGATTTAAATATATGAGCATCTGACTTGGTGTTCTGTATTTTTTTTCTCATCTGTCATTCTGAAAGGAAATGCATTTAGTTTTCCTAACTGATGTTAACATAAAAAAATCCTTTAATGATTTATAATTCTTATAGGATAGTCTAAATTCCTTATCTTACTGCTAATGGTCTATTGTTCGTTGATTTATTATTCAGCTAATATTTGCTGAGCACGTGCTATGTGCCCGGCTGTTTTAAATGTGGAAGTGAGGCAGAGACAGAGCTCTCTGACCTCAGGGAGTTTGTAAGTGAGMCGAACAATAAAGGATGTAGTTTATCAGTTAATGATACATGCTTAAGAGAAAAATAATTCTAGCAAAGGGAAGAGTGAAGGTTTGCAGTTGTAAGCCTGGGCATTGGGGAAAGACTTTGCAGAGGCATGAAAGGGGGACACAAGCAGGGAGCCGTGGAGACTGTGGACAGCAAAGACTCTGAGCCAGAGTGTGTCTGGCCTTGCAAGGAGGCCAGTGTGGCTGAGGTTGAGTGGAGAAGAAGGTAGTAAAACGTGGTCAGATAGGTGGACAGTGGGCCCAAGGCCAGGATTATGAAGTCATCCTSACTTTCCTTTTGAGTGAGGTGGAGCCATCTGAGATCTCTGAGCAGAGGAGCCCAGGTGAGCCACCCAGGGAGGCTGTGCTGCTGAGAAGAGACTGCAGCACTGCAGTGGGGGCAGGGACAGGGGCAGCGTGCCTGATGCTCAGCCTCCTTTTCTATGTTCCCACATAAACAGGGACCTCTGCCTATTGCTCAACRAAGCTGGTAAACTCCCTGCCACCTCCAGCTTGGCTCGGATTCATCTAACCTCTTCCCCAGCCCACGTCCTGCCCCTTCTCCCAGCCCCCCAGTAAAAAGGATGAAGCAGACAACAGAGGCCTGGWGACCCACCCTCAGCTCCCTCGGTTCAGAAACTGCTTGCTTGCCACATGGATCGAAGGACTAGTTCCTAGTATGCTAAGTGTCTAAATTTGGATTATTTCTATTGCTTTTTTTTTTTTTTTAATTCCTCCCTCTCCCCTTTTTTAAACAGGATCTTCAACAGGAAGTCAGAGATGCACTGGTTCATTTTACTTTATCTGTCTTCAGAAGAATTCAGGTTTTGCTGCGCTCTTTCTGGAACAACCGTTTGCTGTAAAAGGAATGTAAACGTCAAGTTGTGTTTTCCCTCTGCCTTCTGAGAACTGTGAATCCTGGAGACAGATGGGAAGAAGACCCTCCTCCCCCTCCTTCTCTTTTTACTCATCACTCTTGGTCTATGTGSGTTTTTGGAGAACTGCAAACCCACTGGGCTTTTGTCCAAGCAACCAGCTGTGCCATGTCTGCAACTGCATCGTGGTAAAGCCTGAGGAGGAATCAGGAGCCCAGAAGATGCCAACCCTGTGGATGGTCCCCATGCTCCCTGCATGGAAACCTTGATCATTTCCTTCCGTGAATGAAATAGAACCTTGTCCTCAGAACAGAGGTCGCAGAGACGGGCACTCCCTCCTGGGCTTCTCCCTGGGTAGCAGGCCCTTCTTGACCTTTGGCCCCACTCTTGTTCCCTAAGTCCAGATCTGCAGTGCCAGCTTCTCAGCACATTGCCCAGCGCCCCCTCCATCCTGGCTCCTCCACTCTGGGAAGTCTGAAGGAAGCTTCCGGTTCTAACACTCAAATCCAACCCAGACCTTCATTCCCATTTCCATGCCTGGAACCCCCCACTCCTGTCGCCACTGCTGCTGGGTGTTTCCGGTGTGGCTTCTACCACTCTGAGGTTCTTTTCTCACACTCATCCCTCCCTCCCTCCTCCTCTGTGACCCCTTCTTCCCTGACCCCTCTCCACCACCTCTTGACGCTGCCTGCAGGCGGCGCTCACTGTCCCCCAGCCTCCTTCAGGCTCCCCTGCTGACTTACAGTGTCAGTCCTGGGCCAGCAGTCCCAGGGTCAAGACGGGGAGTTATGAATTCATCACCAGGCAGTAACCTGGGCCTGCTGTCCCCTGCTGAGTGGTTTCTCTGTGACTGGTGGACAGGCCCTCTGCCAGCTCATTCTCTTGGGCCTTTCCCCTTCCCTGTTCCCCTCTTGCCTTCTTATCTGCCTCATCTACCCCTGTTTATAGAATTACAAGTATTCACAGAGTTTGTTATAAATTTGAAGTTTTACAGATGTATCTTGAGTTCTTTATAGGAAAAATGTTATTTAAAAAATAACTTTAAAATGAAATAAATATTGTTATTTTATTGGCCATGAGACACTTGTGCATGTTTCCTGGTGAAGGAGGGAGTCTCCTCATTCCTGCTCCTGGTGCCTCATGGTTGTGCCCACCTTGATTATTTCTAGCATTGCGTTGTCCTTTTAAAGGGAAATGTCCCAGGTTTTAGTCTGTCTCAGGCCATGCTCCTTTATCTCCACCAGCCATGTTATGGCTGCCTGACATGGAAGAGACCCTACAACTTCCTTTTTATTTTATTTTTTCTGAATAGTTATCTATTCATGTGGTTAAAAAAATCAAAACAATGTAAAAGGTTATGGTGAAATCTCTTGCATTTATTTTCTACCCTGAATTGCAAATACATTTGTTATATATCCCTTGAGAGTTTCTTTGTCCAAATTGTAAATACATGTATTAGTCATCTCCCAGGATCTAAGAGGAATTGGTTCCAGGAATCCCCATGGATACCAGAATCCATGGATGCTTATCTCCCATAAAACGGCGTAGTATTTACATATAATTGACTTACATTTCCCTGTATACTTTAAATCATCCTCAGGTTGCTTACAATACCTCATACAATGTAAATGCTATGTAAATGGTGGTTATACTATATTGTTTAGGGAATAATGACAAGAAAAAAGTCAGTACGTGTTCAGTACAGAAGTAACTTTTTTCCAAGTATTTTTGATTCCAAGTTAGTTGGATCTGAAGATGTTGGATATGGAAGGCCAACACACACACACACACACACACACACACACACACACACACACAAAGTGGCACGTAAGACACATCAGTTTGTACCTAGAGTTTCTGTTTAATGTGGTGGTCAGACACTTTCCTAGGTGTTTTGCAAATGTTAACTCATTTACTCTGCACAATAACCTTATGAGATACGTATCATTATTAGTTCTCTTACTGTTAAGGAAGCAGAGGCAGCATTTAGTAGAGAGGCAGTAAAGAGTTTAACTAACTTGCTCAAGGGCCCAGAGCCAKTTAGTAATGGGGCTGGGATCCCAAGCCAGGCAGGCTGTCCTGAGTCCAGTTATGTTTGTTTGTTTGTCTTGTAGACAATAGAGTTTTATACAAATGTGAAATTGTGCACCTTCCAAGCTATCACTCCAACAAAGACATTTATTCAACTAAACACCTTTAAAAATATTTTAACAGTGTATAAATATATTTTAACAGTGTATAAATATATTCACAACRTAATCTGATTAAAAAACTCCAATGAAGTTTATAGAAACTACAACAGAGTTTACAGATGCCTACAACATTTTGTAGATTGATTTAGTTTACAGTTACATATATTACCTTGTTTAAAGAA